CTTTTTTTTTTTTTTTTCTTTTCTATCTTTTCATGAGGCATGAACCTATCAAGAACTTCCCTTTTGCTTTTCAGAATTTTATTGTTCCATCTTCAGTTAGGTAAGATCCCTTAAAGTTCTGAGTGAAATTTAATTTGTGGCACTTAGTTTCTTTCATTATTTAAGTCTTTTCCTATAGCTTTGGATGCAATGGCAAATACTATTTAAAGTATTTTAATTAAAGATTATTATGTAGGTATGTATTTTTCAGAATTTAATTGTCACTAATTACTAGCATTGCTTTGGTTAATATTTTGATAGGGAAAAGTAAAAATAATAGGTTCTTTTTTTGGTCTTCCTTCAGAATGTTTCAGAATTCTGGCTACTGTCTACCTCAGGTATAGGATCAAGAATCTGAGAATCTACCTAATTTAAGCAGTGTTTATTCACTAAAAAATGGCTTCAGTTATTCTTTATAGGATAGATTTTTTTTTTTTTTTACAAGGCAGTTTGAGTATGTTTGATAGAAAGAAAACAAATGAAATTACTTGGTGAAAATTAAGTTAACCTTTTTATCATAAGATTGATGATAAGATGCCCAAAATTAGTATTTTCACTAATTAAAAAAACAAAAACGAAACAGCAAGTAGGTTAATCTTTATCCTCTTGCCATTTCAGTCATTCTGTTATTTGTATTAGAAATGAATGCATAAATAATAGAATACCTAAATCTATAATGGGATGTTTCCTTTCCAGATGTTTTTTCTTACACAACACTGTAAATTAGAAATAAGAGCTGGCTTAGCTTATTTTACAGTGTCTTTGACCAGTAAGTTAGAATATAAATATTTAACCTGATAATACCAGATTTAAAACATACAATTTGAATATAGGATTAATCATTTCTCATTCTCCTTCCCCCTTTTTTCCATGATCTGTGTAGATTGCCACGAAGGAGCCATTGAATCCCATTAAACAAGATACAAAGGATGGCAAGCTACGCTATGTGGCGAATGTCTTCCCTCACAAGGGTTATATATGGAATTATGGTGCCCTCCCTCAGGTAACGTTCTTGTAATAATGGTAAAACTTCTCTGTCTTCTGAAAAAATTTTCTTGTAAATCCTGCGGACTACTTGAAGTTAAATTGGTTCTGAGGACGTGTCAGGTTGACAGATTTGTAAATTTAAAATTTTTTAATGGGGAGTTTCATTGTATCTATAAATTTTTTTCAAACTATATATATGTCTATACTCAAGTTCTTGGAGTTAGGGATATAGAACACTCATATTTGGCATTTTGAACATATTTCCTTTTCTGGGCTTGGCTATTAACAGTCAGTGAAAAATGTTTTATCTGCTTTATCTTCAGTCATTTCTTTGAATGTGACAAATTATGCTTTTATATACCTTCATATATGATAGGATCCTTTCTTATCCCATTTTGTTTTCTTTTCATGTTTCCTCACTCCTGGAAAATGATATCTCCTTCCAAATTATTTAGTGAGTGAAACTCAGAGTATATAGAATGAAAATTTTGTCTAGGCTTAGTGGATATAGAGAAGTATTTGTCTGTATGATTATAAGAGCCATCTATATTAGACCATCTATCTGGATATTTAAGCTTTCTATTTTTATTTTATCTATTAATTTTAATATTTGACATGAAATTCCAAAATTATTTTGGAGAAATATCTGAAAAAAGGGAGACTTGCTTTATCCAACTCAAAAAACCAGCTGCCCTTGTAGAATAAATATTTACAGGGGAAGAAAAAAGAAAATTGTTTTCTAAAGAGTCAGCCTGCCTTTGATGCATTTAGACCACCCACATGGATATGTTCTTGGTTAAAACAAGCCTTTCTAAAATGATGTACTAAGAAAAAGAACGTCTGGCCTGTTGAAACCATGAAGGCAGGTGTTCTGACTCCCCAGGTGCCTAAGTAGACATTCGGTTTGACCTAGCAGTAAAAGGGTAAAAAAAAAAAAAAAATTGTTAAGCTTAGGGGATACTGTCTGTAGGAGAGGATGTATGGATGAGGGGAAGGCCAAAGAAGCATTTGAATTAGAGAAAGACAAAAACAGAGACAAAGTAGGCAGGGGATAAACTAAAGTTGATGTATTTGTTTATTTCATTAAACATTTATTAAGTATTTATGTGCTAAGCAGTGTATGGGTGTTGGGTATACAAAGAAAAATGATATATTAATATAAGGCAGCAAATATATATTAATGAAGGCAGCAAAATACGTGACTGAGAATGTGGGTTTTGGAGCCATACTGCCATGTAATAGTAATGTGATTTTGGGTAACTTACTGTGTCGTTCTGTGGCTCACTTTCTTTACCTGTTAAATAGAGATGATAAAATACCTATTGCATATGGTAATGTTGAGGTTAAGTGAGTTATCGCACATTCATCTTAGAAGAGTGCCAGATGGATAGGGATCACATTATTACATCTACTGGTACTTTTATTATATGATCTTTCTTCTAAAGGAATTCAATCTCATGGGGGTAATCAGCAACTGAACCACTGGTTCCCATAGAGCATAATAACTGCTACTAATCATCTACTAATTATGAGCTTTTGTAGTTTATCTAAAGTCCTGACAAATTTTTTTACTCCTCCAGATATGTTTGAATTTTCAAGATGCTCCTACCTTCGATTATGTTAGTCTGTTAGGTACAGTAGCTCTACTTTAATTATAACAGAATTAGACTGTGGCAGTCTCTTAATGCATCCTGAACTATTGCCTACTGAAATTTAATACTCCATCCAGCATCCAAGATAACATTTTAAAACTTAAATCTGCTAATGTTTTCCTCCTCTAAGAACCTTTTTGGTGGTTTCATATTGCCAAAAGGATAAAACGTGATATTCTTAACATGGCTCTTCCACCCTGCCTAATCAGTCTGGCCTCTGCTTTGTGCTCCAGCCTCGTTTTGCAACAGTTGTCTTTTCTTGCTTCCATTTTACCACAGCGACTCCTTCAGTGTTTCCAATTTCTCTTGTTTCTACGCCAAGCCTTCACAGAGCTGTTCATTCATTCAGTACATGTTTTTTGAGCGCCTGATGTTGTGAGGCAGGGTTGTCAGTACTGGAGTTAAAGTAGTAATCAGAATGACAGAGATCCTTCTGGGTCTTTTATTCTGGACAGAGTGACAAGGCAAAAAAAAGTAATAAAATGTACAGTGTGTCAGATGGTGATAAGTGTGTTGGAGAATGATAAAGCAGGGAATGGGGCTATAATATATTGGGATTGTTGCAGTGTTAGATAGGGGGAAGGCCTCAGTGAGTAGGTGTTGAGTGAAGACCTCAAGGAAGTAAGGGGACAAGTAGCATAGACCCCTAGGGGAATCCAGCAAGAAGCAGCAAGTTGTAAAGGTCCCAAGGTAGGAGTAGGCCTACTGTGTTGAATAACAGGAAAAAAGGCCAGTGTGGCTAGAATGGAAGTGAGGAAGAATAGACCTGTGTTACACTCTCTGCCATTTTTAACCAGAAATTTTTACTATGTTTTTAAACCCAAATCCAAAAGAGTGTGTTAGTCTTTAGCAAAAGAATATACTGTCTATCGCATTGAAGTTACTTACCAAACAAAAATAACTAAGTTGATTAATGTTTTTTTTTTTTTAAGTTTATTTTTCAGAGAGAGTGTGAGCGGGAGAGGGGCAGACGGGTGGGGGGGGG